CTGTTGGTGTGGGAATGTGTCGCCACCCACCTCTGATCCCTGGATGGTCTCTTAACTGTATTAATGGAAACCGACAGCTGAGCATCCAAACTGCACCTCAGGTTAAGGAGGCCACTTGAGATGAAGCAGCGTTTCCCATAGTTGCCTGCCCTTAAGAATTGCCTGGAACTCTCGTTAGAGTTACAGATTCCCAGACCCTTCTAAAGCCTTGTGAGCCAGAGCCTCCAGTATGTTTAACAAGTGCCCCTGTGTTCTCAGAGCGCTTGGAGGAGCATTGAAATAGACTGGAAAGCTCATCGGGTTGAGGATTAGGAGTCTTGAGTCTGGTTTCACCTCTGCCGGATTCTAATGCAGATTTGGAGCAATTTATTCAAAACCTCCAGGCCTTAATTTCCTTTATCTGTAAAATAGAGACTTTGACTAAAGTACCAGGCCTTTCCAATTTCGGCATTTTGTGATTCTAATGAGGGGTTACTGTTTGATAACATCTCAGATGACTTTTGATACAACTTTGATCAATAATCTCTGTCTGGTTCTTATGGTTAGGGATTTAACAAAGTCTTTGTGCCTGAAATAAATTCTTCATGACAGTATGGATTCTTTCACTCCTATTTTACCCACACAGAGCGCGTGGAACTTCACGTCTTGAGGGGTCAGACGTTTTCCAAACAGATCAAGCAGGTACTTGTTTCACATTTGCGTGTATCGTGCCCACAGTCCATTTATAGCTTCCTCTTCATTTTTGAAAAGTGCTAATAACATCATTATGGAAAGAGAATTGTTGTTTAAATGCATGTAGATTTCTAAAAATGAGAGTTTTTTCAAAAAATTATGAGCATATATTAAGCCAAAACATCAGTCTACTGATTGACTCTTGGATATTGAAAATACAATTACTTGGTTTAAAAAGCTATCTACATTTAGGTTGAAATGATTTCTTTAGCAATTACCTAGTTTTCCTCTGTATTAGAGGAAAAGCCAATCTTGAAGTTTCATCTGTATGGTTTGAAGATTGGGACTAGCAAATGAAAAAAAAAACTTACATAATGAGAGAGATCTTTGAGATTCTTCATATTTTGGAAGACAATTCAGAAACAGAAAACGCAGTGTTTTCTTCTGGCTATCATTTTAACATCTTCTAAAAATCAACTTTTAAGCATCAAATAAGATGGTTTGCACCTAACTAGGCAGTTAGTAATTTATTTAATTCTGTTTCTCCTCAAATTGGTTTATATCCTGAAATGAGTGAATTTTGCAAGATTTGAAGGTCAGAATCTACAGGGTGTTGCTAATGGCCATCTTGCTTTCACATGTTAACATTTGTGGTCTGTACATCTCAGAATGCACTAGCAGCATTTTAGACAAGTGTGGTAAAAGAGGTGGCACTGCTGGTTTTGAATGAGGGCTCTTCTGAGAAGAGGCCCTGGAGGTCCCAGCCTCAGTCCCTTTCCTTGTGAATTAAAGGTCATGTCTGTGAAAGCATTTAGCATCACTCCAACAACAACAACAAAATGACATTAGTAACATCAGTATCTCTAGGCAGCAGCACAATTTCAGTTTCTGGTCCTGGGCTGTCTTTTTCGTGACTTTGCACTGCCTGATAAGGCGGACAGCTGAGAGCAGCGCCCTTGCCGTAGGCTGGATGCTTTACTATGTGAGCAGCTCTGTGAAGTGGATACTGTTGTTACTTCTGTTTGACAGGTGATGCACCTAAGGCACAATAATCTGTCCACACTCACAGCTGGCAAGCGATGGAGCTGAGGTTTGAACCCAGGCAGACTCGTCTCCAGAGCCCTTCGTTTCATGCTGTGGTACTGTCTCTCCTCAAATCATGACACTCTGTACTCGAATGAGGAAAACTGATGTCAAGGAGATATGGCAAAAGCTTGTCAAATATCTGAGGGGGAAGAAAACCCCTAAATCTCTTGGTCTTTTTCCCTTTTCCTTCTCTTTTTGTTTTGAAACCTCTCAAACTGCTGGCAGATGGCCATGACATTTGAGACACACCTATAAAGTACTTAGCACAGGGCCTGGCACACAGCTCATATGTATTTAACCTTGACTGTTGCTCCGCTGACAGCGAAGGACTGAGTGAGCCTCTGTGTGTACAGGGTTGTCAGGGTACCACCCCAGGGGGCCCAGTCCGTCTAAGGCTGCTCACCGAAGCCTAGAAGATGGATCTTGTGTCAGAGATAAACATACACATACTTCCCATTTAAAACTCAGAGAGTTCTGCCCAGGGGACTTACAGTACATGTAGTTCCTGACAGGAGTGTGTGAAGGGTGGTGATTTCTTTCTGCCTTGCAGGGCTTTGGCGGCGTTGGGGTTGGGTGAACCAGCCCTTCTCTTGGGGCCTTCATGCAGGTATCTTGGAGCCCTCATCACCTGCATTTCCTCCTTTCTCCTTCTAGGAACTGCAGACCAGGACCGGCTCCCACTGGGTCCCTAACTCTGAGAGCTGCCCCTTGACCTCAGTTGCCCAGGGACCTGTCAGAGCCTAAACCCTGCTGCTCCCCAATTTCATGCTCCCACTCAGAACTTGAGGGGCTCTACGGGGACCTCAGCTTTCCCTGGACATCTTGGGACCCAGGGCAGTAGTGAGCACGATCTCATGCAGCTCGTCCTCCCCACACTTTCTGAATCATCAGATGCACCGGGGCCTTGTTTTAAAACAGATTTTCGGAGGTTCTGGGGATTCTGAGTCAGCAAGTCTGGGGTGAGGCCAGGAACACGCCTGGCTGACTAGTACCCCCAGGTGATTCTGATTAACCACGTTTTGGAAACAGGAGTCTGTGTTGTGCGTTAGGAGTCTGGTCCATTGCGGATGGTGGGGTACTCCTCCACTCATGAAGTAGATTTGGAGTTACTCTGCTGGTGCTGAGTTGTAAGGTGCAAAAGAGGAATGAGACAGGGTCTTTCTGAGGTACTTTACTGTTTTGTGTGGATGATTCAGTATGTCAATACTAAGAAATGGAATTAACCGTTACTGATAACATTATTTCTAGGAGCAAAATCTGTTCTGAATTCCAAATTACCAATTTAAATTGGATTTTTAGAAGCTATCTCGCTTATAAGATCTGCCTGTAAGTTTTTGGGACAGTGGCCCTCCTACACATGTAAAATGCTGATTTTAAATGTTTATGGCATATTGTGTCTAAAAATTGTATTCTTAAACACAAATATAAACCCTTCTGGAATAAGATTTTTTTTTTCCTGTGGGATGCTAGAAATTTTCTTCTGTTAGTATTCTTTTACTTTCATTTATTTCTGATTCTTTTTACAAGAAATTACCCTCCACATAGAAAGGCACTGTCTTGCTTTGGAAGGACAAACAACTGTCTCAGGTTATTTCTGCAGGGAAATCCTCGATTATTCCTTCCTCTACTTTTTACTCCTCTGGTTTAAAAGCTGGTAAAGGTGTTATCATTACCGGGTGGAGAACTGCGTAGTAACTGGCTGATTAAAATCGCAGTAACGCATGATGAAATATAATGGCGGCTTTCTACATGACTGTATTAGACATCTGATAAAATGTTCTGCGGACTCAGAGAGCATGGTGTGTAGCAAAGGGAATCATAGGGGCCGTGCTGTGCGTAACTAAATTATGCCTGAGTATGTTGGCATCTGAGGACCACTGCTGAGGTGCACTTGCAGTTTCCCAGCTGACGATCTGGCTGCTGTGAGCACCGTCTAGGTGAGGGCACTGCCTCTCATCTCTCAGGATATTCCAGACTTACTTAGCTAACTGTGGCATCTCAGGGAGCTCCAGGCAGCCAGGTTCCACAGCCGGGATTCTTTACCTCCGCATTATATGAGGACTAAGATTGGTGGAAAATCATGATGCAGCCCAAATAATCTTAGCAGGACTTTTCATTTAAGTCACTAAATAGGCAATACACTTAAATTGTGGGAAAGAATATGTAAAAAGTTAGGCATTGAAAATCTTACTCCTGCTTCTGCCCCCTGTCTCCCTTGTCCTCCCCTCCCCCTACTAGAATAATCACTTTTATTAGTTTCTCTGTATTCTTCCAGAATTTCTTCATGCAAACACAAAAATATTGATTTTTTCCCCTCCATTTGCTATATACATTATTTCTGGATTGTCCTGTTGCTCTTCTTTATTCGTATATATGACTCAAAGTGATTATTTCTGTTATCTTTCTGTATGCCTTTTAGCCAGTTTCTTCTCTATTTGTGAAATCACAGTTAACTTATTTTGGTCAGAGAATGCAGTTGATTTGGGAAAAACAAGATTAATTAGCATTGACATGGATTGTTAATTTAAGCACCTTCTTAATTTTTTTAATTGCTAATGAATGCTTTGATTTAGATACATTTTAAATATGAGAATCTCAAGAGATGATTCAGCTTTTCCTGTGTTAAGAAAGGAAAAGGGAAGAGAGGACTTGTGTTAAATGTTTGTAACAACACAGGGTAAATTAAGTTTATTTAAAAGTGGACATTTTCTTCCTTCCATCTGGTTATCCTGCATGCTGAAAGGAATTACTTCCTGACTTGGGAGGAGAGTAACTGATAACTGATATAGGGCTGCATTTGAATTTTAGTGTGGAATGTTTAACTCTGAAATAGTGACTTCATTAGCTGAGTAAATGCATTTGATCAGGAGGTCTGCTTGGTAATTTAATTTCCTTGGGTTGGTTATAACTACCTTGACTGCAGAGGACAGTGTAGAGTGACATTTGAACGAAGCAACTGTGGACATCTGAGTTTTTTTTCCTGGTCGTTAGCCTACTTAAGACCAAAAGTTGGTACTGAATTAGTGTAGAAGTGACTAATTAAAGCATTATTCCTGAGTGTAGACTCAGAAACGTAATCGTTGAATTACACAGCCTACCGTGCAGTTTTGGGTAAATAAAAATATGTTAAAAAGCTTTGTCTTGCAAAGTATGTCATCAAATAGTTCTGGTCATAAAATTAATAAATATTCATCATTAATTTCAAGCCTATAAAGTACAGAGAATATAAAGAAGAGAAAGGATCACAACCAAGAGAGTGTCCATCTCCTCTCTTTTTGCTAACATGTATGTATGGATCTCTGTAAGTATAGCAATAGATGGCATTGAAAAGAAAATAGGGGACATCACTCTCTGTATATATTTTTTGTCCTGATTTTTAAAAATCTAGCTTATATTGTAAGAATTTCTTCCAGGTCATGGGTGTCCAGAGGCTGCTTTAAACAGAAGCATTGGCGTGCATGTCTCTGACAATCTCTTACTTTGGTTTGGCTCCCAAGTGATGTTCCCAGGGGACAGTGTGTTCACACTAAAGTTATCAAGCAAGCAGAATTTTATTTTCTCCTGGCACTTCCTAGGGTTTCTTCTCTTTGTTTAGTTATTGGTGAACCTGTCCATTGCACTCATGAAGTAATGTCTAGGAGAGGGATGTGTTGGAGTTCTATCAGTTAGCCCAGTGGATTGCTAAGTCTTTGCCATTATCCCCATCTGTTGGGAAAATTAACGATATTTTATGTCCAAGATTATTTACTCACAACAGCAGATCATTGAGGCAGAAGATAGTTGCCTCCTTCCTTCCTTATTGGTTCTTTAGTTGAGCAGAGTTCCTGTTGTACTAATAAAGTATTATGTTGCTGTTTTTCTTCTGAAGTTACATTTCTCTTTTTCCTTAAAAAAATTAACATTTCCCTTCCCTCTTCACCAAAATGGCAATCAGACATCTGTCTCGAGGTTTCTCACCTTGGCTGGCGCCTGGTCTTGGCAACACACGGGATCTGTTTAGATTTAGCTCAACAAGATTTAAAAACACAGGTCTGTCAACTGTCTCCTGCTGCAGCTTTGGTTCTTGGTTTGTGGAAAGATGAGGACTAAGCTTGTTCCTTTTATTCTAAATGTTGGATGAAAAACTAATAGTCTGTAGAATAAAATGGTACAGGGCAAATTCATGCATGATAAAAGGTGGTAGGGGATGAAGGTGTGAAATGGATGGGAGAAATGTCTTTGAGTACTGTTAGTACATTTTACACAATCTATTATTGCTTGCAAATTGCAAGGGCTGCTTAATAATAGTAAGTATGTTAACATTTAGGGGGTAACATTTGTAGCCAACATTGATAGGGTACTTACTATGGGCCAGTTTCATTAATCCTCATAAAAATTGTATGAGAGGGACCTATTACCACCTCCACTTTACTGATTTTATTGAGTGGCAAAGAGGTAATTTGCCCAAGGTCACTGGTCAGTGACAAAATACGGTATAGGTGAGTTCTGTGTTTGAACATTTTATTGGATAATTTTAATTTTTGTGAACTTTTAAGTTCATTTTACTATCGAAAACTTCTGAATTTGGTTAGGGCTTGATAGGTATTTTCAATCATTGTGCCGCTAGCCCACTGGCATGACCCGTGGAGGTGAGTTAGCCACCCATGTGACAGTGTTGCTGTGATTCTGTAGAGAATTAATAAAGTTTGCCTCCAAATACTAAGTCTTTTTGTTAATGCTTCCTGTCATCTGGCTGCTTTTCCTTTGCCAGACATTCATGATCATTGTCAAAAGAGAGATGATACAGGAACAAATTCAATTTCGGGCTTATTTTTATTTAGCGATACATTAGAGGGGAAATTCTCTTCTTTCCCTTCTCTCTCCAAGTTTGCTGTATTTAAATACTGCGACGCTGTGAAATGCTATCTCAAGCCTATGCCTCGAGGAAATGGCTTAGTTTACTTGTTAGCAACGGAGGAGACGCAGTGGTGAGACCAGCTGGTTGAGCCTCTCTAGCACGTTTACATGCCTTAATGGAAAATACCTTTAACTGCGTGGTGCTTGCTGGTGGATACAGCCATGAGAATTGGGACCCCTAACCATGAACTTAAATCAGCAGTTCGCAAAGTGTGATTTCTGGGCCAGCAGCATCAGTATATCCTGGGAACTTGCTAGAAAAGCAAAATCTTGGCCCCACCCCAGACCTTCTAAATCAGAATCAGTGTGGGTGGGCTCAGCAATTTGCTGTTATTAACAGGCCTCCAGGTGATTCTGATGCCGGCGGTGGAGAACCACCTCTGCAGTATCAGCTGGCCTGGGGCCAGAGGAGTGAACCTGCATTGAGACCTGTGCTGTGCTGGGGCTGTGACTGGGGCTGCCAGCGCTAAATCCCGAGGGGGTTCTTTACAAAGCTTCTACGCCTGATCCTGGGCAATTTGGGTTTATGAATACATGCTTCATTACCATACCACGAGAGTCTTGCTTTAAGAGTCTTTGGATCCTGCCAGTTTGTGCGTTAGAGGCACATTTGCTCGCCATTTGGAGATTAATAACCTGCCCCCTGGGCTTGTTCCTCATCCTCCCAGCTGAGCACGGCCTCTCTGATTTCCCCTTTCCCAGGAACTTTAAACAGCATCTAGAGAGCAGGGAGGTGACTCACCACAATCACAGGGTAGGGACATACTTTCTAAACAAAATCTGGAGGGAAGAGGATTGTTCTTCCTAAATGCTGATTACATAAAGCCCCCTGTTTCGATATTTTAGTGAAATAAAAAACGTAACTAGGAAAACTTGAGGGAGGCTTGGGACATTTTACTTGTGGATGGGATGTACACGTTTAAATA